GATGGCGGGATGCGGGTGCGCGCTGGAACACAGGTTTGATTCCAGACGACGGGGAACGAGGATCGACGGATACCAGCAGCGTAGTCGGTCGGGTTCGAAGCGCGTTCATTGGGGAGGTATTCATGCTCGCAGAGAGTGATAATTGCAGAGGGCTCTGTGTAGTTATTGCTTGAGGCATGCGACATCGAGCGTGAGGCATTGTCTGAGAAAGCCGAATATTCAAACCTTGTCAACGCCTCAGTGAATCACTACAACAACAACATTGATATCCTTCCGAGAGATTGTGTACATGGGTGCCTTCGACCGGGCAAAAGAATGCAGATCACTTTTCAAGTTCTATCAGGCGATTGCGTTGAGGTGCTGCCCATGGGGCATCTCCTAGAATTGTTCGAAAGTGGGATTATTAGTATTGATTCGAGAGAAAGCGGGAAAGCGTTCCTCCGTTCCCAAGCAGGCCGGGATAGAAACTTTGGGCAGGAGATAGACAAGCATTCGAGGGTGGAAGCGTCGAACGAGGTGACCGTGGATTCTTCTGCGGGATCAAGGCAAATTCACCGGCGCGACTGAGGGGAGAGCGCTCTGTCCCGTCGCGTAATATCGGTGAGAGTTGCAGAGAGTTCTTCGGAAATTTTCTAAATTTCATTAGGAATCCCCGTCAGCGCGCTCTGTCCACGCAGCTGGAGCAGAGAACAGGCTCGCTAGAGAGAGAGAGGAGATGTGTTTTCGGAACACAGAAATGGGTGACAGTTCCAGCTCGGGCCCGACCTTCAGCTCCGCTCCAGCTCCTCGGACTCGGTCCTCCTTGAGGCTAAACAACTGCCCGGGAAGTTTTACAGTTCGCGTTTTTTACACTTGGAGCGACCTCCGCAGGGGACCGTTCTTGCGATTTTAAACGAGAGCCATGCCTTCCTCTTCCTCCTCCTTCTCCTCTTCCTCAATATCGGGACCTAGATCTCGCTCACGTCCAGAATCCTGCTCGCGAATCTTGGCAGATCGATTCTCTTGAGAGTTCGCTTTGCATCGACCGTTTTATTTACTCCGGTCGAGAAGCTGGCGAGCTCCGCTAGAACGGGAAGCCTAGATCATAATTCGAAGTCATTACCTCCGGACAGACTCGCGGAGACGAACGACGGAAAAGCGGGGAACCATGCTCGTCTCCGGTCGACATCTTCGTCAGCGCTCTCAGACAGCCCTCGACGACGATGAATCGTAATACCTCTTAGTTTTCGCGTCGAGGAGAAAGCGGACGTTGAGGAGTACGTCCAAGAGAAATGAAGGAGAAATACGACGGAAAAAAAGTTTTCGTCCCTGAGAGGCGGAGATTCTCGGAATCAGCCAAGTGTATCCGAATTAGCGTAGCCTTGGTTTTCACTAAGATGGAGTGATACCGGTATGAATTGGAGGAAAAGCGGAGAATAATTCCCTTGTTGTTATTCCAGTCGGATGCCTTGTCCCTCTCTGTCTCGCAGGACCGTTGCCGGCTCCTCGGGAACGCCGCCGTCGGAGCAGTCGGAGAAACGCTCTACGGACCGTACCAAAGTGAAATCCTCGCGGGTACGCCCCTCGCGTCAATGCGCAAGAGATCTGAATCGACCGATGGGAACGAGAGAGCTCCCCAGAGTTCCGGAGAAAACATTCCGGATACAGGAGTTCCAACCTGGGCACTGCAGTCGGTGAGCGAGCGGTGCAACAGAAAACGCCGTGTTTGAGCACTGAACGCCCAAAAACCTTAATCGTGCTATGACGACGAAAGACCTTGGATGCGTTCGACTGAAAGATGCTCTAACGGAATTCGCCCCCATGATACGCGACCCTTCGACGATGAGAACGCTCTAATTTCGCTTGAGGAGACTCCCAGCAGCGGTTCAGCTCCGAGTGAGCTTACGTCACAGCTCAGTATAATGGAAGCGACTCACTCAAAACAAATCCGCTTGCTCCCTCCCCAAGAAACGAGAGAATTTGGCTGGCTGGGTGCCTTCCCGACCGCGATAGCTTCACGCTATCAAAAAGTTGCATTAAAGAGCGGTGTTGTCGTCGACGACTTTGAGATTGACGGCTCCGGCAGCACCGCTGTTTCTATGGAGTAGATGAAATTGCGTTTTTTTTTCTCGGGCTCGTGTACGAAGTGCCTGAGCGATCGCTTGATTGATCGCTAGTGATAACTACGCTCTCGGAAGCTCGATGCCCGCTGGAAATGAATTCTGCAATCCTTCGATGGAGTTCGGAGATGAGCGCCTCTCCCGCACGAGGACGCGCCGAGTAGGTTGATTCTAAGTGCTCTCATTCGCGAGCGTATATGTAGACAGACATATGTAGATCGTAAAAGTTGCGTGACGCGGACAGAGTCGCCCTGGACGCGAGGTCTGCCAAAATAGGTCATTTACGAGCGCTGCCGACTCGAACTGACGCCGCCTGCCCAGAGTAAAATCCCAAGGGAGAATCCCCGTCCGTAGAAAAATGAAAAACTCAGACCGGACTCTAGCCGCGGCCACACAATCTAGCTGAGTCGCTGCCAGCGTTCCCATGACAGATTGGACTGAGAATCGAGCGAATAAGGCTTTTCGTTATTCGTAACTCGCTTTCGAACTCTCGGTGGCCGGTAGTGACAACGAGAGCTTTCGCCATCAAGCCACGAAGAGGTTGGCCCGGATATCTTCCTCTCCATCCTTTAGCTCTTAACGAGGACTGGGGGGGGGAAACCGAACAGATAAAATATGTGACGGCCGGACAGACGCACAGACGCGACTTTACTCCGGGTGGACGACGTCGACACGGAGGGGTTCCGCGTAAAATGACATCATGGGGAGTAGCTTGGGACGGGCCCATGGTAGCTAAATGACTCTGTCGAGGGTTAGGGATCACAACAAGGTCGACATAAAACGGGTCAGATCGGCGGCTCCGTCCTCGTTCCTTGATCAATCACTGCGGAGCTACCCGAAGGGCGCGCTCCTCGACTTATTCCGCTTGCTCGGGATCCGATCGGCTGCGGCGAGATCTTCCCGACGTTGGAGATATCCATGAATCAAGGTTCGTGGAAATCGCGGCAATTGAAGGAGACAGCGAACGCCATTTGCGCCGGAGACGACCGTCCGCAGATGGAGACGACGTGGATCCCGCCGACTAGAAGACCCCGGGCTGATTTCGAACTCCAGCAGGTCACAGGGCATCAGCGGCCCGTTGATTGATGAACGAACATTGAACGCCTCCACTCCTTCAATATGCATACATATCTGATTTCTTATCCTTCTGCATATTCATGGAGCGAGCGCTCGCATGACTGAATCAGGGAACCAAAACTTTCGGTCATTGTGACGCTTCCCCAAAAAGGGATGGGCGTATAACCTCGCATCGGAAAATGAGGTGTCTGCGTGCTTAAGGTATTGGGGCAAGCTGCTTGATCGAACGTGGCTTGCACATGTCCAGGGCAGACCTGGACCTGCTGCGCCTTGAGCCTCGGTCCTGATACCCGAGAGCTACTCTAGCTCTCTGGACTCGTCTACCTGTATGGATTCCCGGGGCTTTAGCCCGTATCAGGCGAAGACCCCCTCGCAGAAATTCGAATTTGTCCCGAGGAGTGTTCCAATTTTCCTTTCCCGCTCAGGACCGAACAGATATCCGAAGTGAATCCCGACGCCACGGTACAAAATAGCTGAGACGATCCCCATCTGCTAGTTCCTGAAGCGCTCGTCCTCCTGAATCCCACCGTGAGACTGCGGTGGACCTCAACTCCTTTCCCACCTTCCAGAACTATACTGTGCGCCCCCCCCGGAAGGCTCTAAGGGCCTCTCTGGGGGCGGGCGCCCCACCCCTACGTGAGTCTTCGCCCTGGGAACGTCCCCCTTCGATGTAGGTACTTTTTTCCTGGACTAAACCTCAGAGCCACCTCCCGAGTTTCTCTAACGGGAATTGTTTCCGGCCAGAAGTTTATGGACTGGGAACCCAATATTTTTTTGGCCCGCGGCAACGGGGCCGAACAATTTCCCGCGGGAGCAATGAGCGTTCACGGAGAGAAATCACCGAACGGAAGTGACGATTCACGAGAGGAAGTGTACCTTTCGCTGTTTCCGCGTGATGCTCTACACAGGAACCGCTCGACCACATCGTCCTGAGGCTTCCACCAGGGAATTGGACAAGAAACTCGCTTGCTTCCTGAGCAACTTCGAGAATGAATGGTAAGATCTCCCGTTCCTAAACGAGCAGCAGATTTTGGAATGGAGCGACTGCCCGCTCCCTCGAGCAAAAAGCCAAGAAGGGAGAGAAGCTTGTGTTGTTTTTTCCATAATCGAGAGGATACCCGGATGCCGAAGGATCGTGGGTTCCATGCCGGAGATTCGCAGGAGTAGGCTGGGACCGCGAATTACTAAGAACTTTCACCCTCCTCGGTGCGCTCGAACACAGGTGAACCAGGGTCGAGGCTAATACGTCTTCACTCAGGTATCGCTAAGACGCTGATTGCGAGAGCTCCCCTTATCGGTTTGATCACTGATCATGCGCGTTCTCTTCCGCTCGATTCACAGCTACCGACTCGAATCGGAGCTCGGACCGCAGCCCTGTCGCGGAACGAGTTTCTCCGTTCGGATATCGATATTCCTTCCGACACGATGCGTTTCAAAACCAAGCGCAAGTGCTGTAAACTAGAGACAGTCGTGCGGGTCCGAATGCGTTACATGAAGAATTGCGTGGAGTCAGGAAAGAGTACCCAGGCACTGACAAGCTGCGAAACACGGCCGAGCGGGATTCTGAACCTTTGTCGGAACAGGTTTCGTCGGTAGCTGCTTGAGAAATTCGAGAGTACCGACTCGCGTGGAGAGCAGGATTATCTCGCTCTCGTCTTCGATGATAACTATGCAAGAACGTCGATTGCGCCATCACAACGCTCTCGTCGAGACTCCGATCGTCTGCTCGGAACGAACAGGACAATCACGATGACGAGCGGAATTCGAATCCCGTCGCCAAGGAAAATGATAGAGAGTGTTGAGGGCACCAGCGGACAAGGAACATCACTCTTCTCCTAGAGCAGAAGCTGTACGCGGGAGGCTCGCAAAAAAGTCGTTATACTCACGGTAACAGCTGGAGCGATGCCGAGGAGCGTCGAGACGAAGACACTTTGAACTGCAATAGGCAACCTGTCCGCAGGAGACACATTTGACTCGGGCAGCGTTGTTGCACTCAGGCCGGTGGCACAACCCGAGAGGACCGACTGCGGACAGAAAATTTATCGATGAGAGCAGCGAATATTGTCATACCGGAGGGGAGGGGAGGAAAAATGGACTGGAAGAAACGTACTGTTCGCATTGGCTCTAGATCCCGGGGAGCTTCCAATCGAAGCGATGCCTCTGACCCTCGCGAGTCTCATCAAATGATATTGTCGTATTTCGAGAACTCGAATATGATCTCTTTTCAGTTCTCACGTTTTCACTCAAATGAAAAGTATTTCAGATCAAGCAGAATAAGGAACCCTCCATCGGGATCGTCTCCCCGAGTCATCGACTTCACTCCAACATCCGACCCACCGTAGAACGCTATCATGGAACAAAGGACGTTTTCGCTCGGTGTTTACTGTCCAAGCATAGTTTCGCTCGACAAGCAAGTAGATACTCTACGGTGGCGATTGTGTTTGCGCTGGTCTGTTTACATGGATCAACATCGATGGACCAGGCAGTTTTGAATATGTACTGATGTCAGCGGTCGTACCACGTATAGTCGCCGTTGCCCACGGGATGCCTTCGAGGGTTTGATCTGACTCACGCTCTGCTGCTCGGGGATAGCAGAAAGGTGAGTTGGGTGCATTCAAACTAGTCAATCGGGGAATTCGGATCTATCAGGCGGGAGCCATCTGGTGAATGAACGCTTCCCGTGAAGGCGAATCGTTGATCGTGCGCTTGGTGGATGGCTCCCCAGAGTCATTCTCTGGACCGACCGTCTGACTGACAGACAGACCGACTGAATTAGCCAAAGTTCGCGTCTCATTGACCTTGTCAAGCGAGCCAGGAACTTGAGCTCGAATATTGGCCAGGTGAAATTGCTCTGATCGTATGTGGCACAGGCGTGTTTGCGATTCGTAATTTACATTGGGCGACGGAGGTACGAGAACGGACACCTTCGGAGAATCGAATCATACCTCGTGCGGTGGAAATGTTGACGGAAAGTTCCACCCGAGCGAAACCTGTCCGCCGAGGGCTATCTTTTATCGCAACTTCCAACGGAGCTGCGGATCGAATCGAGAGATCTCACCGACGTGTCTATATCGGAGCACATTCTCGGTCTCGCATCGCGGGAGCTGTGGATAAGAGATCACTTCGTGTCTTCATGGATGGAAAGAATGGACGAGGAAACGTCCACCGTCGAGAGTGAGCTCTGTGCTGGGATTTGCGTCATCGGAGCCGTTCGTCAAACTCGTTGAGCCAATTTCGAAACTCCTGAGAGAAATTCCGAGCGATCATCCGCCGCCCTCGGAATCCGGAGGACAAAAGCTCTCATGCTCGTCGAGACCCAGGAACCCACGGGTCTCGGACCGGAAATTCAGTTTCCATCTGAGGAGGAGAGAGACGCCTATTCGCCCGAACATTTCTGTAGACTCAGAATTTCAGGACTTTCGGAGGGCTCCGCTCTTCAATGTGCCGATGTGTGTAGCTGCCGATATTCGCTCTATAAAGTGGTCGGCTCTGGAGCTGTCGGTCCAAAGATTCTACGACCGGGGACGGAGCAGCAGAAGAGGAAGGGAGAAATACGAACTCGACAAGAGCTTTCTCCCGGTGGAACTGTGTCCCACAAGCGCGTTCAGCCGGCGGATTCATCCTTTCACTCCCCCGCCCTGTAGTCTCCTTCTATTCGCCTAAAAGTGTTCCATTATTGGCCGTTGCGGTGAGAACCCACACAAACAGCCCTGGTGGAGACGAATGCATCACGACTGAAGGGAATGAATCACAAATGAAAGTTCTGCAGGGAAATCGAGCTCGTTCTCTTTCGCAAAGCATCAGAGAACTCCGTTTGAGAAGCCATCCGTCTTGGGAAACGTTCCGCAGGTTCTGCACTTTCTTTGTTACCGCACCTCTCGATCCAATCCCCTCAACACAACACTGGATCCACAAGCTCAGACCTTGCGTCGTGAACTTTCGAACAAAATTAGCGCCTTCTCTCTGGAACGACGGAGAGTGGACGCAGAAGAACTCCGGCGTTTCAGAGCACGGCTCCGACGAAGCCGGAATGCTCTCCGACGTCCTATCGGCAGCGGTTTCTCCTGTCGTCTCCCTGCCACGATCTGAACGCTGCAGGAAGCAATGAACGATAAGAACGTAGGAGCGCTAAGTCGTCGGGGATTCCGCTTTTGCCGCCTCGAGGCTTGCGAAGCGCCGGAGGACAGAGCGCGCTTGCTGCTTTCCGACTCTTCCCGGCTGCCTGACAACTACTAGGCCCGGCGCTTAGAACGATTCATTAAAAGAACTTTCCGGGGTCGGGCCCGGCGACTCGCGAGTCGAGTTCGTCGCTTGGCTTCTTAGATAGGTGTCTATAATGAAACGATCAATTGGTTCTCCGTGCGACACAGGCCTCGACGACGCGAGCACAGAGTCTCCTGAGCGAGGAACAGCGGATCACGAAGCCCCCACGGGCAATGGAACAAAGTAAGCGGATGTCACAGATTCAGCAAACACGGAATTTCGCTCCTCGTGCTCGTGCCTAATTGATTGAGCATGACCCGAGTCATCGATATCACCCCGTACGGAGTATTGCACTCCGAATCCAATCCATGGCGCTATCTCAAAGGCGCTCTCGAGAATCGCTGCCAACGCGCGACGGTGAGTACCCCGAGGGAGGACGCCATCACATCTGGAGACCAATCCGGTTCCTTGAAGCCGGCATTAGGCCTTCGATTAAACCTCAAGCCGTCGTAGAAGCTCGTGAGAAGGGTGCCCCGCTCTTTCGTGATTGGGACGGGGCACCTCGCAAATATATCATTCGTTCTAGCGCCTGATGCGATAAGGTGGGGAATTCCTTATTCATCTGAATATCTTTCGGTCAGCCCGCCTATCCATGGCTTGCCCTCGACAGAAATTCAGAAGGCCCGGTCGATCACTGCGAAAATTCTGGAGAGTGTTGCGGAGCCCCTCGGGAATGTTCCACCCTAAGATATCGTTGAAACAAACGTTTCTGGGACCTAGGAAGGTACTTCCTCGCGAGACTAGGCGTTCCGAAGGCGCTGCCACGGGACTCGAGATTTTTTGAAAGTTTTGGAGGGGCTACTTTTTCCTGGAGCTCACTGCGATATACCATTCAGAATGGAGATCATTGTGAGTATGGATTGTGCAACGTAGTTAGTGAGCACTCGATTAACCATGGATACAACATATATACTGCTTCCAGATGTTTCTTATGGAGGCCCGAAGCGGCACCTTTCATCAAGGAAGTGGCGAGTGAAATACTGTCGTATGTCGTGTTGCTGGGACAGTCGCCGCGAGTCGACACTCGACATCAGCGAGCCGGAGGCCGGCTGGCCTCAATTCTGAAGGTGTTGATCAATTTGGAGAGGAAATGGAATTCCCCATGCCCTTCGCGGTTCCGTGGAGGTTCGGAAGCCATGGTGGGATATACGGATCGCCTTCGATGAGAAATGATTTTCTGCATCGATTCTTGAATACTTGCGGACGCTACAACCCAGCTTGGCAAAATATTCTGAAAGTGGGAAGTCGCGAGCGAGTCGACGGCATCTGGAATATCGTGTGCCTATTCAGGTCGTCAGAGCTTCGGAAGAAGCCGACGAGAATTGCAGTGCAAGTGTATAAGAGGGATCGGAGCAGGTCGAGGCCCAGAGTGTGTATCTATCATTAGACGGAAGCGATTCGAACAAATTACGCACCGTCGGGAATGAAATTACTCGTCCTGATGCCTGGCTGGAGCCCCTTCTTTCATTTGGAATCAAATCAGATTGCTCCGAGCCCTCGGATGGGAGATCGTCTCTGCCGGGACTCTTCCCATCTGTCGCCGGCTCGCCCGCACCGGGATCTTCAGTACATCGAGGCAGGTTCGAGGAGGTCCCGTACACACGTTCGGCTCTCAGGCACGAACGACCGACATCAAAGAAGCTAGCTGCTCGCTCCGATTTTTGAGATCTTCCGCACAAATATAATTCGCAACACCGACCTCATGAAAGACGCACAGCTTCCCTTAGCTGCGACGAGTGAGTCGTGATTGTCCCAGGCAGTCTTGAGCAAATCATAAGTTGACTCGGCGCTCATCCGTTTCACTAACTAGAACTCTCCCAGTTATTGCTCACGATTCCCTAGCCATTGCCCGTTGAGTACAAAGGGAACGGGCTTCCCCATTTCTCATTACAACTACCTAATCAAATCCAGCTCTCTGTGAATTGATCGCTCTGAATTATATATATGGTATATCGTCCGGCTTACGGTCCCGGTGGATGTTTGCAGAGGAGACTTCTCCAGAATCGAGGCATTGCCGAGAAATATGCTCTGGAGCAGGGCTTTGTCGAGAGTGGAGATATAATGAAAGAAGCTCACTGTGTATAAGCGGGTCTGATTGCCTTCCGACGGCTCCGGGTCTCATTCCAGAAAACCATACGGGTTACACCAAGCCTCTCAGAGCTTCGGTCTCGAAAAAAGTCGGGTAACTCGTGAAAGCCTCGCTCCATTCATGAATACTTTCTCTGCTGGTCACAAGAGACGAGAGATCCCGTGGGGGAGACCGATCGTGAGGACGATGCCCAAGCCGCCGGTATCTGGGCTTAGGTGAGGCACTGTGGAGCGAATTCGCCAAATCGACCCTTACTGGGATTCCTTCAGACCACCACCACTGAAATCGGACGAGAATTCTCAGCGCAAAACCGGAGCGCGGAGGTCAGCGGGCCAGATAATCTTCCGGGACTTCTGCTCGCCAGACCCGAACGATGATTCGCACTTTCCGATTGGGTGGAGATCCGCAGCCGATCGCTCCTTTTCTTTCTGGTCGAAGCCATTGAGGGAGATCATGCCCGAGACTCCCTTATCGACTCGAACAGACCGCAGTCCTCCCCTTTTTGAGAGAATGTTTGTCTCCGAGGAAGCCGCATTCTTTTCCAAAAGGAAGTTCGAAAACAAGCGGAACGAATAGCCGACTTGCGCCCCATTCGCTCCGAAAATTCCTTGACCGACCGGCTACGCATCTGATCAGGTGGGTCACGATTCTCGAAGCGCCGAATTAGAAAACTCTCAGATCTCATATCGAACATCCTCCCAATTCCTTCATGAGCCAAACTGCGGAAATCATTCCTATTATAAAGCGCGACATCGGGGGGACAAAAATGTTTCCCGATACCGGACATAACTTCCCAACTGGATATCTACCCTGCCCTCACTCGTGAAAGGCCGTCGTCTTTCACGGTTTAACTCGAGAAACGACGATAAAAGCTTTCCGATCATGCTCTACTTGGCCTCGACTCAAGCTGTGAAGCGTCCCGCAAGAGAGCGTCGATTGCGCATTGGCTCATTGACTGCCTCCCGTCAATCAATCGATTCTCATTCTCACTGCCTTGACTGACACGTGCGAGGCGCTCTGTTTCGAGTTTTGCTCAAGAAATCAATCTATTCATTAATCATTGAGCAATCAATAAAATCAAGCATCAGATCTGAGCGCTTATGAGACATCAATCAATGAATCTCGATTCCTACTATCAATTCTCTCGGACCTTCCCGGGCTTAGGGACCAGCCTCTCTCTTCTCAGGCTTTATAGCGACAGTTTCACTCATGAGCCTGCAACGGCTTTCAGCTTGAAACCTAAATTCAATCCCACTTCCTCTCATAAGGCTGCAACGAAGTGCTTCATCGCGCAGGTGGAGTGTGTTTCATTATTCTTCTGTTCTTCATTCTCAATATTCCGCAGTTTGATCTCTACATAATCGGAGAGGAGCAGAGAACTCGAAGACTTCCTCAAAGCTTATAGCCGACTTTCTGTTGTTGTCACACGCGGTCAGACAAATTTGAATTTTCAAAATTGTATGAAATGCCGACATTCTTAGTTTCGCCCACACATCAAACGGTTCTTCTGAGACGCCCCGTAGAGGCCAAATCACGGAACATCGTTCCGAAATGAGAAAGCTGCATTCAGTTTCGTGGAAGCGAGACCTTCGACACGGGATCTCATGGAGACGAGATCCGCGATGAGTCTCTTATACGCCGACATCTCACATATGGAGTCTCTAACGACTCAGGAGTGCATGCGGACCCGGGGAGTGGCGATGGGAATCAGTATCTTACTCGCGTATTCTCTCATCGGAGGGCTCGACTATCTTCGGCTTTGCGTCTCTGCTTTTGCATTCCTCGATTCTTTGATTGACACGCGGTCTCGACGCCTCATTATTCGGGAGTCATGCGTTAGGAGGCATTGCGGCCGGCACCCGGGCGTGAGCAGCCGTAAGGGCGCGAAGCGCCCGCACGGCTGGTAAGCAATGAGCGACGGAAACTCACCGTATGACCCTCCACTACGCGTGCTCGACGGGCCTCTCTCTGCCGAATGCGTTGATGAGTTTCCTGAACTGGAAACCTTTGCGATCGGTGGCGAGTTCACTTCTGGAGCCTCGTCGTCATCGTCTGGAAACGCTGGGTCATCGGTGTGTGACACGTGGTCTCTACCGTGACTTTGAGGTCTCACAGCCCCAACTGGAAGTCAAACAGCGATCGATCATTAATCCTTATCGCTAGATATTGAAGAGAGTTTCCCTGTGGCACGATGACTAATGGTGTCAGGATTGAACTGACCGTGGTCAATTCTCTCAGATAGATCCCGAGGCTCGAGCGCGACATCCGAGTCTCGCTCGATATCCTCCTCCATGGCGATCCGCAATCGCTCGTCGTTCTGTGCGATCTCGGCGCTGTTTCTGGCTTCTGGCACTGGCACGTCAGCTGCAATGAGACCCATGAGTCGATTAGAAGCGAATTAGTGCCCGTTTGAGTGCTCCGAGCGCAGATTTGCGTTCTTTTCCAACAGAGAGTGGGTTTCATGAAGATGGAACGGCTCGTTGTGCCGATCGACTAGCTCATTGATCTAGAAAACATCGCTTGCGGAGTCAACCAGGCTTTCTGCTCGCAAGACACATGCTTTCCTTCCGGAAGAGCGGTCTTCCACCAGGAAGGAGTGCCGAGTGCACTATCAGCGGTACTCACGATAGCTGGACGCTCGGTTCGGAAAGCGAATGACAAGCACTTTGTTCTTAAAAATTCGGTCGATAGCAAGGTTCTCATTCTTGACGTCGAGGCTCGTTCTGTCGTTGTGGAATCGGAACGAATCATCTTTGGCGAGTTGACTGAGCGCGGGTCGGAGTTCTCTCAGAGGGATTCCTGTGGAAGTATTCGGCTTATTTATTTCTCGAATCTTATTAGACGGCTCTCCGGAAATCCGTTCGCATCTCGGCGAGCCGATTCAGCGAGAAATCTCGGGGCCCCGAAGATCCGAAGGTCGCCTTTCTCGTCGTCGCCCGCCGACACAGTGATTGGAATTCGGCCTGACGACTGAATGTCCGGAGTCAAGTCATCTGAGGTGGAGCAAGACGTGGAACGAGCGAGAGGAGTCTACCGACTCTGAGTACGCGGGCCCATTACCGAAGTCGTTCCGCGAAACTACCGCGGTGCTCGGAGAATGAGCCGACCGGTACTTTGGCTGGCCGGCGCGGCGTCCGCCGGCTCTGTCAGAAAAGCACCGGGAAAGTGTCCAGTTGCAGGCATCGGGACCTTGTTCGATGGCTATATCCTCGGAGGCCCTCCATTTTTCCTGATCGGCCCCGAGGCTTTCGGAAGAAGATGTACGCAACCCTCCAGGAAAACTCGCTCGATATTGAAGCTCTGGATCGGAGCTCCTGAAATTCATGCGCTTGGGATCGATCGATCGATCACAAGTCTCCAATCAGAGCGGCAAGCGCAGTCGTCTCCCGTGCGAGCGCCGATGATCGCTATCGGTCAGGCGAGCACCAGGTAGAACCGATGACATTCGAGACTTGGAGAAGTTCGGGGCCGGGAGCAGCCAAATCGAACGAAATAAACAGCAACAACAATCCGCGGAATTTAGGTTAGCACAGACGAGTGCATTTCCTAAGTGGGGTCGCTCTTTATCTTCATAATCTGCCTGCGTACCTACCTAGATGGGTGGGAGCTGACCCGACAGCGACCATTTGGCGAATCGATGAAGGATATGCGGTCCTTCAAGTCAGATCTCAGACTGAAACTCAGCCTCGATACGAACATAAAACAGGAACGGTCAGCAGGGCCGACCGCTCGCATGCCTGGTCGACTGACCGCTCGAGTTGCCGGCCTGCGAGCTCGGAATATCCACAAACGTGGCGTGCAGAAAACCGATTTCTCGGTATCAGACATTGAGACCAACATCGACGAGTGGCAAGCTCCGTTCTCGACTCACTCAGCCAGTCAAGAATTCCACGGGAGAGCTCAGACTCACGAACGAGCGAGGCTTTGCGAGAAAATCTCAATCCTGAAACGAGCCGCAAGATTCTTGATTCGGTGAGCGTAGACATTCTCTTCTCAGGCGAGCAGGGCGACGATAGAGCTCAGACTGCAAATGAGCTGCAACAGCAATCGTTGGCTGCGCCAACATCAGAGAGATCTATTTGGCTCATCTGAACTTCGTATTGGTACTTGCGACTTCCTCGTGCGGCGCTCCTCCCGAAATCGAACGCAACATCGCGCTGCTCCCGTTCAAATACGAGAGGATGTTGCGTTCGGGGGTCGGAAGTTCTGCCTCCTGCCGCTCAACGCGGCAGGGAAATGCCACGCTGCTCATTATGCGGCGAAATGATTCTAAGGAGGGTCCGTAGGTCCTGGGGCGCGCATCAGCCTTCGTTTCGGGGCGGAGGGAGGGGAAATGACGGGCGCCTCGGGGTCCAAAGATCAGCATTCGACCGTGGATTTCTCGGAGGAGGGGGGATCTCGGCCCTTCCCCGTGAGAGCCTCTGGGTGGATTTCCCGCGGGGAGGGGTGACCCTGCGAGGAGCAAACACAGCAATGGAGTCCCGAAACAGCGAAAAGCTCCTGGAGCGCAGAATGAATCCGCAGACGGAACTTTTTCCTGGGTAGTTCGGAGCGGTTTCAATAAGGTGGGGGGAATCAGTATGGAACTCCGGTCGGCAGGCCTAGGAAGGCGTTCGCAATTAGAAGTCAGATTCCTTGAATTCGATCGGCCCCGATAGGGGCTGAACTCCGAGGATCCCGAGCGCAACGGCACCGCCGCACTGGCGGGGGGTAAGGACGGACAAGTCAAACGAGGAGTCCGTTTGTAAACTTGACCACTCGTGAGGCCGCAGAACCCAAAGCTGACCGTCGCCAAATTGAGGGTCTATCTGGGAGAAGCCGAGGTGGAGAGTCGGCTCTAGTCTGGCAGGAGGTTGAGAGCTTCGCCAGGGAATTCGCTTCGCTGGGCTTTTAGCCTCCCACTGGCGGAAATTCGATTGGGTTTCATTAGCATCGCAGAGTGAACACGAGCCAAAGTTCAAAAATCTTCTCGGCCTCAGCTCCGTCGTTGCGGAAGAAAACTGAGGAACCTCGGGGAAGCTCGACTTCGCTTTGCTGCCTCGCGTGCTCCGATTGACTTACCCAGTCACTCATTGGCTGAAATGCGCTTTCACTGTATCGATTCCCCAATAATTGAATTCGACTACTCAAACTTTCGGGTTCCGAGAGGGTCCGCTATCCAAATCTAGGTAAAGTACGTTGTCCAGAAACTGTTCTGGGGAAAGAATGCCGGCTTCCCGATATCCCTCGACAATTCGTCTCTACGGTAACGCGAACCGGGTGATTATTGATTATGAAGCTCAAGTCAACATCTCTGGCCGACTGCCGACCCGGAACATGTTTTCCTTCTCGGAGGATATCGTTCTGATGAGGGAACATGTTTTCCCCTTCGAAGGATATCGTCTCAATCTCGACGTCACTTCAGCACGGGATTTCATCCTCAGTCATATCGATGAAGCGAAATTACTCGTCACTCGAGGAGCTACCTCGCTTAGCTCTTCTGAGCGCTTGTCGAGGTTCATTGAGATCGATAGTCCATGGATGGGCGGAGATCCAGTCTCCACTCGACAATTCCACCTAAGCTTCGGCAGAAAAAAACTCCACTAACCTCGTACCGTCGTAAGAGTCCCGATGACGTTCCGGATGCCATCCTGCTGTTGATCATAAATAGTGTACTTCAGCATTTCTTCGCCCTCCTCTGTGATGAAAGGAGGCGAGTCCGCCGTCTGCGGATACCCGTTGGGAATAATGAGCGGATTATCATCGTCCGTCATCCCCGGACCCAGAGCAGATCTGTATGGAAGAGGGGAATCTTGCGTCATCTCATCAACGAACTCCTGGTCACGCTCTCCTGGGTATCGGAACTTCCTTCGATGCCCCACAGGTCCCTTGGGATACCCATTCACGTAACCCTGGTCCCCGTATCCGTGGGACGGACTGGGGCTGCGCGAGGTATTCACTCCTATTTTGGCGATTTCGAACAAGTTCTCAATTGTCAGAAAGCAACTTTTTGCTTATGAATCTTAAACCGCCGACTCCGGAGTCGAATGCACGTCCCCGCCGTCAGAGTTCCCTACGCACAGTTCAAGCACTTTTGAGAGCGGAAACAACGTCGACGTGACACAAGGGCCGGGTCGATCTGGGCCGGACGCACAGATGACGGGGAAAGCCCACAACGTTCCTATGGAAGACTGGGACTTATGCCTTGAGGACCACCGTTCGATGATTGTCTCGACATCGCTTAGGGCCGAGCTGTTGAGCTCCCGTTGTTGTTCGACTGCGTATCCGTTGAGGACGACGTCTCGTGTTAATGTGAGTCATCGGGGATCGAAGTCGGTGGCGAACATGTCGCTCGCCAATAATTGCGCTGATCCTAATGACTCTGTGTATTGAGCGGTTGCTCACTCGCCGATTGAGGAGACTACAACGAGAATGGTTCAAGCGACGACGACCAGCGAGACAAGGAGACGATTCCGGAGAACCAGCTCGGCGGCTGGCGGATCTCCTCTCGGCTGAAGTTCTGACGAACGAAACCAGAGCGTGCATGGCAGCTCGGGGGAGACAACACCTATGATTGAACGGACGCGCTTTCCCCATACCGCCTGGTTCGATTCCCACCGATCCGCTCCTTGACCCGCTGCGTAAAGTCGATGATCAGGAGCCTCAGAGAACGCATGCAGATACTTCTCATTCGTCTGATTCTTCGGTACCACAGACCTACGACGATTCCCCAGTCGAGTCGGGCCGTCGTCGGAGGACATCCATCGGAGTCAGATTCATTCGAAATCCCCGTCGATTCGCTCCGAGCAACGCGGTCCTGATGTCTCCTCGCGGAAGACGTCGTAGCAGGTTTTTTGTCACTGACGAGAGCCCCGGTCGGTGCGTCCGCGGTCCAGGTCTAACGAATCCATCCATTTTGCAACGAAATCAGTCTAGTTTGTCCACAGCCCGTCTCCATCGAACTCGTTCTCCGGAGAGTGCTGCACCGAGATCTTCGAGATTGTCCAATGGTCGACGTCAGCGACCTCGCCGACGCTGACGTCAATGCCTTTGATTGCGGCCACGAAGGCATCCGAAGCTGGACCGGCCACCTTGAGCTGTTTCCAATTTTTACTCCGGAGGGAAAGAGTTCGCCAGGCCAAACCCGCTCGTGGGTTCGATCGCGGGTTTTTCAGCTCCGCAGCAACGATGGTGAGATCAACTCTGGAAGCTCAACGTTCTCTACGCTCCTTCCTTCGACGACCGTATCGGCTTCGAACACTTTCACTGATTACACGAAAATGGAAAAAGTTTTGGAAGCGCTCGCAGAGCTATTCCGGGCGAACCACAAGCTGGGAAACCACAAGCCACTTGGAAAGGTCACGCAAACGAACAGTGAGGAATTGAACTCCGTGTAAGACCCTCACAGAGTCGGCGTGGACGGCGGTGGAGGGCTTTCCTCTCTTCCCTCTTGTTCCGAGACTCGTTCGGAAACGCTTCAGGGCTCTGGACACGGGGTTTGTTTTTTGTTTTCCAATGATACGAAACAGCACTGATCGATTCAGGACGTCCAGGATCGTCTTGAATAGGAGTTCTTGCGATGTCGCCACGACAACCAGCTCACCGCGCTCTCTGTCGACGACTGAGTCCCTTCAAATCGATCGGTTGTCGATAGGTGGTTAGCTGAAGCGTATGCCCTTTTTTTGTTATTACGGCACCCTCATGGAGGTCTGGTCCTCGCTCGCTCGCTCACAGCGAACTGCTCTTGGATGCAGGCTCTTTTCTGACTCAGGTTTTTCCATCGAGAACGCTCCTCGGTCTGACGGCTTGCTCTCGCTTGAATACAGCGTCAGATTTTCCGATGGGGGTCATGATTCCATATGTCGAATAATCCGCTCCGATTGTGCGATTCAAAAAACTGCACATGGTCAGGATGATTTCCGATGCGCTGATTCTTCTCGACGCGAATCTCGTGGGATCCCCACGTTCCTCGGACCGGAATCACAAAAACGAAGGGATGCCAGGGGGAAGGTTTTCTTCAGAGCTCGATCTCCATTTATTCCATCAATGGCTCTCAATCATCGAAAATGCAGCCGCCTTTCAGGGCATTGGCCACGTGCGGTTGAATGTAACGGGGGTGACGACGCTTCAAACCCACGGAATGTTTCAATGCATCCACCATCAGGGTCGGCCGCATTGCATTTTGTTGTGGGTCGCGGTCCTTGCCGTCGTTTGCTGAATAGCTGTTTTTTTCGCTTTCCCTCTCTCCGGCGAGATCCTTTGTGGTCCGGCAGCTTCCACTTTTTCCGATAAGCTGCGTCGTTTTCCAATGAGTTGCCCCATTGGTTCGACTCAGATGACCAATTTTTTTTATGGGCCCGGATATTCAGTACGAGTCCATTTACCAGAAAAGATTCCGAACTGACACCGACTTTCCTTTCGGCTTCGTCGCGGCGCGTTTGGGCTATGATTACTCACGTCAGTGAGACCTTGATGGGGACCTGTTTCGAAGAAGAAAGCGCGTGGGGAACGCATCATGTTTCCATGGTAACTACGGCCAAGGCCTCCCGAGTGCAACCATGAACTCTTATCCCGGACCTTCGAGAACAATAATTCTCCACGATATCATCTTCTGAGCCACTTTCCGCGCCAGACGCCCGGAGATCCGCTAATCAGCTCGAAGGGTTATTCGCGAAGAAAATTGGACCGGTGGACAGAGTTTCATGGACGACCCTGGCCTTGCTTCGGTTTTCTAAGGCGATGTTCCATGGTCTCTGAGAACTTGAACTAACAGCAAAGATTTCCTCTTTCATTCGTGAGAAGCCCGCCTGGATCCGTCCAGAAAGACGAGATAAATCGATCTCAGATGTCTTGGGAGGCGGACTCCACAGGGAATCAGGGAAATCGACACGGCCCGACGAGGATCGAGAGCCTTTCCATAGCTCGGCTTGTCCATGACGGCTCCAAAATCTACGATCCGGCTTGAGAAAACGTCGAATTTGCTTCTGAACTCCTGTCTAGAGCAGCGAACCCGGACACGCACATTCCCGGAAGGGATGGGAAGTCGGCGAATAGATTGGAAGTCTCTCATGTCGAAAATCACACACGAATACCAAGTCAGCCTGGGGAATACCGCAAAGCTTAATCGAATCCGCGATTCTGTGGTCAGTTTGCTAGCGGAGCGGACTGAATCTCGACGGGAGTTTCCGGGTACGACATGAGCTCGAAGAATGAATCGGATCCCTCGTCTTTCAGAATTCGCTGCAAAGTTTCCAACCACAGCGAAATCATCGTGGATCTTGAGGAGATCATTCTCGCTAGCTTCAACGCGGACGTAAATTCCAAGAAACAAAGCGAAAGCATACTTACAGTGCCGGTATCGTAGCTTCTTCACCCACAGAGGCTTCGTCGACCAAGGCTTCAAGTTCTGGCTCGTAATCGTCTTCGACATCTGTGGGATTTTCGTCTTTCAAATTTCGGGTAGGAAACAGCGAACCTCCAGGAGGGTGTACATAAGTCTTCGACAAGCGCCCCCCCCCTCCCCCTTCCCTCATTTAGAAGCATGAGATTTTTTTTGCATGCATGTGCGTCAAATCTCTGTGCCCTCAGGGCTGCGAGAAGAGGGTTTGAGCTGTTAGACACCTTGGGGAGATTCATTTCCTCATCTGAATTGGGATGGGTGCGGAGAAACTGTCACCGCAAGAGCAGGGGAGCGAGAGCAGGGCGCCTGCTGACACCGAGATCCCTCAGGAGTTCCGAATGCGCCAGGAGGAATCCATCGCCATACCACAGTATCTCGATCGAACTAACTGTCTCCTATTTTTTCGATCATCCGGTCTACACTTTGGACTCTACGAGTCCAGCGCGGGTCGATCAACACCTCTTGGTCTCCTCGTATGAATCACTGCTGCGGAACGCGTCTCGTTCCGCACCAGGTGAATGATATGGCGGACGCCGGTCACACTTCCGGAGAGCCTAAATGCCAGCAAGCTCGTTTCGGCCGACATACGCGTCAGTCGAGGCACGTGCAAATTCTTTCCCCAGTAGAGATGTACGAACCCCTCTGGGCATCCCGGCCGATTCGTGGTTACCTCGACCGTGACGACAATCGGATGTTCCGACCCTCTTCCGGACACACGAGCCGAATACGTTCGGAGCTCCGGAGCCAACAAGACAGGAAGATCCTAGTGAACAAATCCTTCGGACGGGCCGGTCCCGAGAGGAGCGAACCGAGCTTTCATCGATTATCCTTAACCCAATACCATGCTCCACAGAAGCACGCTTACAGCCTCTCACGCGTCCGGACCGAATTATCCGAGACTCGATGTTGTATCTCGCTCCGATGGGTGATCTATAGGCTTGGGCGCAATTCGCTTTCCTCAGTGCATCGAAAACGTCTTTTAGCCACGTCCGCCGCAGTTTCAACATACTCCCGCAGACGAATAGGTTTCGCTTGCCGAAACCTGTCAGAGGTCCGTCATCTTTTTGAGTTGCTGCCAATCGCAGCCATGGTCTGGTTGAGATGAGGCCTGGGAGCGAACTTCGTTCCGGACAACGGAAAGGACTTGCGTAGCCGACGGAACGACCTGGAGAACTCATGCTCGAAGTATCCTGAACTTGATGAATGCACATCGGCTTGGAGCAGGTCCGGGGTCCAGATTTGGCTCTCGACTCGAGGAATCGGAAGCGTGGCTGAAGTCGGACCGATATCCACTGATCTTGAATTTTCCCAAAAATCCTTTCCGTTCACTTACCATCAATGGTTGCGCCAGAGTCCGGTCGCTCCGCTCCTTCGGACTGTCTGTAATGGACGAGCGTTTCATTGGTTTTGAGTCCGGATGCGTCTGAAGCTCGCGGTCATTCCGCGCCGCGAAAGTGTTTCCCACCGGAAAAGCTCTTGAGGAGGAATCATTCATCAACCGCAACGGGTTGCTCATAAGCTATCGAGGGCTGTTCCTATTGTGCAGAGGGGGGAGATTCTACAAAACAGACGTCAGATTTCCGTGATGCAACAGCATCCGGAACGCTACGCGCCATCACGTCTCGATCCCCTCGGAGATTCGAGCTAGTGCACTCGTTCGATATTCGGCCGACGCGACCAGATGCGTGAGCGTTCACGGAGTACCTAATAAAGTCTCCCAGGATCGATTTGGGATTCGAAGAGTGAATTGTTTCATGGCTATCATGCCTTCCATTCACCACTTCAGCAAACGAGAGAGGCTCTCGCCGGAGTGAGTTTACTCACCCGTTGCGCACTGGCGAGCCGACCAAACCCATCAGACCCCTCTGAAGGAGGTGTCTCTCGATGGCCCTCGCCGAAGAGATATGGCTTTCGTACGACTCAATATATTGCGGTGGATAGCCGATTTTACCGTTGGAGACTGCAAATAAGAAAAATACTGTAGCATCGCCCTCGTGGAAGGAAAGAACTCCAGTGCCGGCTCGCAAGTCCGCACCGACGAGAAGATGCTCCCTGACTTATGACTTTTGGCGTGAGCTCTTCTGCAACTCTGTCGCGTTTGCGGACATTATCGCCGCGGTACCTCTACGGAACATATGTACGAGGCATAGAGACGATCCCGATATATGTACTTGATGAGATAATGATGGGCCCACATGATCGATGAGAGTCTTGCTCGAGGCGGGTGGGAGTTGATCCAGTTTCACGCCTCAGGACGCGTCTGGGCCGAGAACTCATACGGAAAACTCAGAAAAAAATATAAGAAAAAGAAAAAAGAAAATGAAAACTCGACGTGAAACTCGCTCTGGGGCTCGTCTCTATCGACAGTATGATTCTCGGTATTGTTCGGGTACCATTTGAAGGATGATTCCTCTTATGGAATTGCTTTCGGGTGTTTCATTCGGAAGTCAGAATCAACGGGACGCGGCCGTCGCAAATCTGCATGAAATGCATAAATCTACGACCGTGACAGCTTGGTTGTCCGTGGCTTCCGAAAGCGGACTGTTCGATAGTCGGCAAGGACATTGGGTAGGTAGACATAGGTGCGAGTAGGCGCGACGCATTGTTGTGATGTGAGATTACTCCCACTCGGCGAACAGATCTGCGTACTTCCGAGCCAGCACAAAAATATGGCTTTATTGTCAAAAGAACGTAGACTGGAGGCGGATATTCTTCTCAAGACGTCACGCGAAGTCTCTCTGATACGGCAGACGGCCACACGCCTGAATGTAACTTATGGCCTCGTCGGTATGGCTTTGTATAAAAATGGAACGGAGGTGTCTCGAAAAAACAACCCACGACGGCTTTCGAAAGGCTGCGACTCGCCTCTCACGGATTTCCATCAGAAGCACGCCGTCGTTCCCCCATACTGTGGATGCAAATTCCTTCTACGCGCGATGTGGTTCGCGAGCGCATCGGCTGCGTCTCAATTCAGTCCGAGTGCATAACTCGGAGCGGATACTCGGCCGCGATGACAAACACACTCTCGTCCGGTGACGATGTCCGACGACAGCGCGACAACGCTAAACAGAGGACACCGAGACCTGCGTAAAATACGCTGCCACAGAACAAGTTGCATAAAGCAAGGAATTCCCGATTCTCGGGAGTTTCCCCTCCCTTTCCCTCATCCTTCGATCGGAAAAGCTATCGCAGAAGCGGGAATCGGAATCATGCTCTGTATTGAATGATCGTTGGGCTGAAGGCACAAGTCACTGCCCTCGGCGCCTTGAAAAAGAGAACAAGATTCCGAGCACAAAAATGCTTCTGTTTCTGCGAAATCACTCGGAACGACGACCGCTGTCTGGAATCGAATCACGACCAACGAATTTCTCGGACTTCCGCACCTTGACCACAGCTCATCTGGTTTCGTGTTCGTCCTCGATCATACGTACGTGCGTTGAGAAGCTCATGAAGTGGCCCGCAGAGAAGCCGACCCCAAGCGAGAAAGCCAAAGAATAAGCCGAGATTGCGTTTCGCTCGTTGATACGGAGAAATCTCTCTGTGTGCCTCAGAACCTACTCGACGATATCTTCAGGAGGTGGAGAGCTGCGAGGCTTCTCTCCGGCCTTAGGGCTGGATATATTTTTTCCCTCTGTCAAACACTGCTCGATGGTTCCGTGGCTGCAGGCTCACATTGCGATGAATCGCGGTGTGCGCCGGATTTCCGACTTACTCAGACCAAGAGGTCAGCGTGTGTGCGTCAGGTGTGTTATCGAAGGGGTCGACCATCGCCGGGGGCAGGTTTTGAGCCTTGCGCGGTCACAGCACCTGCCGAAAAGCTCAGCAGTGGGGATATCGGTGTAGGTGCCTACGCGCCGATATTCGACAATACTCTCTCATAAGTTCGAAGTTTCGAACCGAACCCAAGTAATCAAATCGCTCGAGTCCGTAACTACAGAGTCCCGGCGAAATCCTACACCCGAACTAATAGGGTGTCTCCCTCATCCGAGGAGTCATGCCTGAAGAGCTTGGGACCCTTGATCGCGGATCAGGCTTCCAGATAACAGGATAGAACGGCGGAGAACATGCTTGGCAGAAAAAAAGATACAAAGTAATTCTTTGAGAGGACATCAAGATTTGTATTCTTCTCTCAGGCGGAGCTACGCTCAACTGAATTTTGCATCATCGCTCTCGCCGTTGTGGCTCACATCCTGAACCGAGAAGTTCTGGAATCATTTCTCTCCTCGAGCGCAGGGGCCGCGAGGCATCAAACTTTATTCCGTGCATGCACCGAGGAGGAGTTTCACGCTCTTGACGCTTGAGTATCCATCCGTTAGACTGGCACACACGAAACAACCCGTGGAGGAAATTTGAGGGCTGGAAGAAGCTGCGCAACAATGCTGTTCCGTGTTCAGTCGAGCCAGGACCTCATCAGAGTCTATACGTCAAGAACTCGCCGAGTTCTCGCAGGCTGAGAGTTCTTCGCAATCATAAACTACACGTACCGGATGGGGCTTCCGCCCGGGAAGCCAGCGGGGGATTACAGAGGAAGACAACGCGTTGTCAAAGAACTGCTTGCGAGGAGCTACCACGGCAGGACTCGCTCTATTCAATATGGCGCCGTGCGAATTCTACAGATCGAACGATGTCTTCGAGTGGAGCGAGAATGTCTCCGAACGGAGCCAAGATCGGAAAAATGACGCTTCCTCCCCGACACTCCACAATGCCTGATCGTAGCTCATTTCCGGGACTAGTACGCGGAGCACACACGAGGAGATCAGATAAATCGACCAGCTCGGTTTCTTCCTCCTCCGATCCACGATCTCATAAGACGGACATCTCGCACTAATACCGATAAAGAATCGGTCACCGAGGAGGAGCACGATCGCTACCTATCAATTTGGACCTAGAGTTTCGATGAGCGATCGTAGAGGACTCACTTTCGGAATGCTGTGAGAGCGTATCTGGGAATCGGGGACCGTCCGCCGGACGACGGAGACGGCAGGCCCCCGCTCGTCCCAGGATAACTCACGGACGGAGCGTCGGCGGAGCATTTGTCAAAGCGGAGCGACCTTCGGAGGGAGCTCCGCTTTGAAAAGTCAGCCAACTCAAAATCGGTTGAATCATCTTTGACTTTCTTGTGGGATAGCTCGGCTCCTGCGAGTCATTCTTCACCCATTGGCTCGGTATTACGTAACAGCTCAACACGAGGGAGGCTTTTCCGGGTCAGCGGAGTTCTCACTCCGAAATTCCGCCATGGGCTCGCGAATGCTGGAGCGGAAATGCTCTGCCCGCAGAAACTCAATCCACAGGGACCGTCGAGAGGGCTCGACTCGAGTCCTATACATACATATGTGCATATATCACGCTCCGGAGGCAGTTGAAGAGTTTTAATACTATCCCTGATCCCTGGGAAGGGCGAGTTTCGGTGTGATGAAATTGGCGATATTTATATTGCTGAGATGTCGAGCTCTCAAGAGGGAGAAAACGAGTTTTCGGTCCGGGCACATGATGGAAATCGACCTACTGCGGAAAATTCATGACTGCTCCGCGACGAGGCACGTCGACGATCTGCGCTTTCTCAGGGTGAGGCCCTAGTTTCAAAGCGGCCTGCCATTTTCGAACGTCCCGAGTCGAGGATCCCGGCTGATGAAATTTCTCTCGTCGCAGCGCAGTGGGCTTCCGCAGCGATATCGGTCAGAGAAGCTGACTGCCTAGCTGCACTAGCCCCTGAGGGTGAAAGTTCAGAGGCAGTTGACGCGCTGCGCCGGAGCGACTGAGGGCAGGAGTTTGACGGGATTCGGGATTCCCTGATGCTCTGTGAATCGATGCTCGTGCTCGCGCGGCCTTTCCGCCAATGTATTCCGCGAATCAACTCACCTAATCGCCCGGGCTTCAGAAGTTTCTCTCCTCAAGGCCGTCGATTTCATTCTGACTCACGCATATTTCCTCTTCATCAGTACATTAGACTGGAAGACGGATCGTTGTGCCCTCGTTTACGCATGCGAGCGTCTCTCCGGAGCACTCAAATATATCTGAGAGGTTAGCCACTCGAGTCGAGTGGGTTCTCGAATCCCGGATCCGATTGATTGAGGAGCATTCCACGGGTGAATGGTTCGATGAGTCTCGCGGAACTCGATCGCTTCACGCTTGTTCCGCCGATACAAATACAAGCAGATATGCTGGAAAGCAGCAACCTCCGATGGCCGAGGTGGAGTTTTTCACAGCCCAGGCGGGATTAAGCTCAGCGCTTATCAGAGGCAGAGTCTCTAAATCCTCGGCTTAGCAAAATGGAACTGGCAACGACGAGGGCTCTCGTCATTTGCTCCGTCAGCGACGACCGACAGGCAAGTAGCGTGTACATCGTACCACTACGTCAGGCCGCATTCTCGACCGTCGCAGAGCAACATCGCGGGAGAGCCTACACAGTCATAAATGCGGCAAAAAACGCCCAACTGTACGAGCTCCGTCACCGAGCGGACATTGTCGAAAATACTCAGCCGGCTCGCTCGCCCACCATCGAAGAGACAGCATTTGTGACAGAGAACAAAATCTTCCGGCGGGGTAATGTGTCTCCGCGCGGTTGTCGACGCGAATTTGAAAGGTTCGCTTCCCACGTGTGGCGGGTCCTCGATTTCCGACTCCGACCTACTCCGCGGCAGATCCAAGCACTTTGGTCCGTCGCCGGGAGCCAAAAACAATGTCGGCATCATGAGCGCACTATCTAGCTAGTCGTTAGTCAGCGGTGAATGGGATCGCTCACGCCTATCACAAACCTTCTTTTATGGCACTTTCGCGCAGCTTTTTCCAGATTCGCCACCACCACATGGAAATAATACAACATCTGCAGCCGACCACGACATTCGCCTCGACAGAACCAAGATGGCCGGCGTTCTCTCCGTGAAGAATCGATATCTAGGGTATTTGACGACGGACGAATATGGCACGTGCTCCCTTTTCGGAACCTACTTCCAATCTCGCTACTCGGTGTGGGGCAGTCGCTTTCAAACTACTCCGGGAACCCGTTCGACATTTGCCACATAGAAGTGAATACACTAGGACCTCTGACTGTTTCATGTGTATCGCTCAAAACTGGACCAGCTTCCGAGCTGTTGGTCAGGGAGAAAATGGTTCCCTTCGAAAGTCTCAGGATTCGACAAGGAGTTCCTCGGAGCGACGATTGCATCCTCAGAGATGACCCGGGGTTTGATATCGAATGTTTTCGATGGAAGCATAACGGACGGAGGAGCTCTTTGGCAACACGGCGTCGATGTCTCGCAGGCCTTACCGGATGAAATCGAGAGACGATCCTCATATCTGCTGTCCCTCCCAGAAAAAGTCGCGAGCGATGGATGGCTTGCTTTGATCATCAAATCATCGATTTTAGCTGGAAACGAAACAGATCCTAAATGAGAAATTAAAATCTCCAGTGGCAGAGAAGTCGGATGGGGAGAGCGAGATCGATCTCGAGGGGAGTACCTACAAAGAATCGTCGAGGCAAGAATTGTATCCCTGCGCTCCAAGAGAGGCGTATGCTTTCCATGTCGATTCCCTCGGGACTCGGGGACCGGCTCACGGGAGCCGGGCAACAACCTCAACGGAGCAAAGTGGCCAAAAATCTACTTTCAGTTGGTCGGGATGATCTGGCTTTCTTCGTCCGATTTTTCGAGTAAGTCTCTAAAAATCGAGCCCCAGGAGTGCAGAGAAGACCTTGGGAGACACGTTCAAATGAGAGGAAATCAAAGACGATCCGATACAGGAATCGGTCTGCAGAGAACTAGAATCGGCGCGAACCCCCGAAGCACCCCATGGGCACGTCATTCAGCAACATGCGATTCATTTATCTTTCGAATTGCTCGCGGGAACCCAAGCTCACGGAGCCGCGGTCAACTTTCACGGCCCTCCGCGCCGGGGGCCTGAACCTCTCGGGAACTATCCGGAAGGCCCGAAGCTAGATTTAAAGTAAATTTTTGAACCGAGCTCCCCATACTCTGTGTCAGTGCAGCGGAGACTATTACTCCCTCTGAAGAGCGTCGCCCCAAGTCCATCGCCGAAGCTTTTCAAACAGGCGACACCCGCCGTCGTACATCGACTACGACTGCACGAATCACCGAGATCGATAATGGTCCCACCATCAATCATACGATTCAGTGTGATCTTGAAGACGCTCTCGGCCAAGAGCCGAATCGATGCTGACAGACTCCGGGAGCTGGTTTATGCGAGAGGGAGCAGCTCCAAGAGCATTTACATATATCCGTGGTTGGCCCCAACGCTTGTGCCTGGGATATTAGACGACGGCAGCCAAATAGTTCGCCATCACACTTCGCTCATCAGTAAGCTCAAATCAAGAGCTTAACAGGCAAAAAAGAAAGACAGTAGTCTACCCTGGGGGATCACCCAGAGGAGGCTTCGAGAAGTAAATAGGAACAATTGCAATTCATCGACAATGCTCCCTCTCTCATCGGATCGTGTCATTCCTCGATGTCGAAAGCCCCCACCAAGCAAAAGTTCTAGTGTATCGGCACCTGCTTCACGTGGCTCGCTCAGAAAACGGCAACAGTCGTCTTCACAGTCCGTGACTCACCAGCCGTTAGATGGCTGTTCTGGGTGAGCTGGAATCTCGTGATTCTGTGAACTTCCCGGAGGGGACAGCTATCTGAGCCAAGCGCAGAAAAATGTGAATGGAAGTAGAAGGCGTCCCATGGACTTGTCCAACGGAATCGACCCTCAGCTCGATGAGAGTTTTCAAGTGATATCGACACGCTCGTTTTACCCGATGGGAGTCTCGTCATCGACCCATTGGTGCCTCGACTTGCGACCCCGGCGCTAGGAAGGGTCGAAACACCTCCCTAGCCATTCCCTTCGCCTGGGGGATCCGAGTCATGCCAAAAAGCACTCAAGTGACATTATCTACTTAAGACTCGGTCCTTGACCACTGAGCGACGCTGATGTTCGGAAACTTCGCGCGCGTCCTCTGCACATTCCATCCCGCATCCTGCTACTCCTCAGTCAGACCGAAGCTCATTCGCGAGAAGCAGTCCTCAGACGGAAGGGAGAGAAGAAACACGGCGCAGATTGCTTTTGACAGAAATTCAGCTCACCTTGTCTGTTCCTGTAAACACAATAGAAGAGGCACAGGAAGAAGAAAATGGCGCAGATGACGCTGACTCCGATCGCTGCCTTCGATGAATTCATTAATTTCGCAGATGGAGTTTCTCGTATTTCAGGCTCGTCCCCAGCTGCTTGACGCCTGCACAGCAAAAGTACTCCTCGTCAGGAACGAAATAGGACCTTTAATCTTGTGATTGTCTGAATTCGAAAATGTTAATCTCAACAATCCAGGAAGCATGACAGACGGTCAGATGATCTGGCTATCTCCTCAAACCTTGTTCGGACTCGAGCCATCGATCTGTAGACCTCGCTCCGCTCGAACTCTATCCGATATCCCCAATGTCTAAGAGCTCTGTTTTCGTTCTCCAGCTCGGTCGACCTCTCCCCGTCCGGCGGTTTTGAACATCGCGAGACGCATTTCACTTTGCTGAACGATGGACCTTGAACAGAAAATTCGATACCCAGATCAGACATGATGAGGAAAAAAGTGACCCGATCTCTAGCCATAAACAGGAGATTCCGAGAATTGGATTGAGATCCGACGATGGACTCTCATCATCAAGAGTGCTGAACTCAGTGTGAAATACTCAGTTTCGCGTTCCTCGAAGCCAGGAATCTTGAATAGTGCACTCCTCCGAGAGGTTCAGCCAGCCCAGTACGCTCGTTGTCGGGCGCTCCAAGTTTTTTTATTCCGGAGAAAATTGAGAAATTCCTTCCTTGATCGACGGATCTCTCTTACACTCCGTGAGTGCAGCACGTTAAGCTCTTTACCTCCCTCAGAGAGCTGGGGGCTCAAGGATAATTCAATGTAGGACGCTTTTTCTGTATTTCCGCGCATTGCAAGAAAATCAGGAACTCGTTTTGCACCGACAGACAGAAGAATATCCAGGTTGAGAGAAGCCGGGGAGAGCCGTCGAGCAAGCGGTCTCGAAGAGCAAGGAGGATTCGTGTGCTTTATACAATTTGGAGATCGGGGTTTGTCGCGACTTGGCGATAATGAGATTTATTCTGCAAGCGAGGTGTAGGACGGTTGTTCGAGTGGGAGGGGAAAAGAGCAGGCGATAGCGACAAGATTCGGACGATGCCTCTCTCCCGGAAAACCTAAATGTCAGGGAAAGTATGGAAGTGCTGGAATAGGGGAAGACGGTTCGGAGACGCTATCCAGGTAGAGCTCGGAGAGCTTACGTGGGAATGTGTGGTTTCGCTTCAGGGGCGTTTGGACCACCGAATCTGGCTGTCGGGAGACTGATAACTAGACCCAACAAGCGAAACCTTTGATGTTCCAAGCCTCATTATCCGGAGAATCATTAGTTTCCTTCTCGAAATCGCAGAGTTCTCCCTCAATTTTTCCCAAAATAATCTCCGCTCCCCCCTGCTGGATCTGAGCCCGGATTGCTCCTCATCTTCGGAAACCCACTCAATCAGCGGGGGCATTGATGGAGGATGTGCGCACCCGCTATCCTCAGCAAACTGTCCTCACTTATCCTTTTCCAACTCGTTACAGGATCTCTTCGACTCTGCCTAGTCGACCAACCGGGGGCGAGGCTGTGCAATCGCCAGCCAATTCAGCTGCTAGGAAGCCTCATACTTGCTTTCCCACTCGGTTTTTCTTCCTGTTCACGTCCGAAGCGGGGGACAATGTCCTTATCGACTGGAATGCTCAGGCGAATGAATGACTGTCTGCCTACTTCGGGAGGCATCGGGAAAGAGTGTACAGAATTGCGGTCGAAAGGTGGGATGTTCCGCCCTCGACGGCTTTTGTTGCCTCTTCTGTATATTCATGACCCAATCCTCGTGTTATTCCTTCGAACATGGTCTTCGTTTTTCCGTCGCTGTCAACCGGAAAACATCGATTGAGTCTCGGATATCTGGATCATCCCTACCCCTCTCGATCACAGTGTCTGACGTTCGGGCTTGCGGAAGTGCGTGTCCCTGCTATTCGCGTTCGAGATGTGGACTCGTTTTCGATTACACCCGCTTCCGGCTATGCTACGAAAACAAAGGATCCAAGAAAAAATGAAGTATCCAAGCTCAAGAAGCTGAGTCAGAAAAACTAAGATGGGAACAACTCATCCCCGGCAATCTCATACTCGGATGGAAACGCGGATGTCCTTCCATGAGACAGAGGCGCGCAGTGATGCTATGTATCCAATCTCCGATACGGGGAGACATGCCCAACGTCGGAGAGGTCTCGTGTCCGAGCGTATTCCCGAATAATTGAGCCGAGCAGAATTACTGCGTTCGAGAGCTGCAATCTATTGATGCAGGCCGCGAAGAAGCTCCAAGAGGGCCCCAACCCGGGATAAACTCGGAAAGTGACTGATCGGGATCAGGTATTCGGCGAACGACCCGCCTAGCAGGGAGCTTTTCGTTCGAGATGACTTTCCGGGGAACATCGAAGTCTTCCATCCGAAACAAACCGGTGAAAGTCTTGAACAGACACAGGACTAAAAACTCACCAGAGTCCATTAAATTCTTTCTCAGACTTTGAATCTAATTTCCATCTCAATGAGCTTCTCGCTGGCCGTCCTCAGAGGCGCTTCAAGAGAGCATTGGAGTCTCTAGAGGAAACGCTTCGCCTTTTGGCTCCGATTGGAGCGTCCGGCGCCCTGGTCGCACGCTGTCCGATCGCGACTCGGGAAAGTCCGAGTCATTGTGGTAGGCGAAAAACATTGGGGATCCGTTGCGATCGATCAAACATCGAAGCAGTTTGATGATCCGGGAGAACGTAGGGGAAACGTTCTGGACAGATGGATTCTGTCCTAGACATTGGAGCTAGCAAGGGGTTATATGTGTTGCTGATTATGAGATTCGGGACTCAACTTGGGACGTTTTCGGACATCGTAGGTGGGGGACCTTCCTCGTGTCCACTGCGTGGCTCCAGCGTGGCTTCAGTACCTAGATCAGATTTTCGTAGAGGGAGGGCCGTATATGTCAATCATCCTCGGACGTCATTGAAATCAGCTGACGCCACTTCTCTGAGAAAGTCTTGCTGATCCGATCGATTCGAACATCATGAAATTCTCTCGAACCATCAAGGGAAACTTCGAGGGATGATTGATAGAATCGACGAGCTAGAAACTTTCAGAAATAATGCTCGACGAGGCGGAGTCACGATCTCATTCTGGCCGGGCTGGCGAACCGATCGTGGGATCACAGGGGGCCACCATCGTGAGTAGCCGCTCATTCAGCATCCTGAATTATTATGCCGCGACTCCCGTAGCCGCTGGATGATAATCCCGTCCACAATGCCCGGTGG